TATATATATATATATATATACACGTATCTATATATATATATATATATATATATCCACCCAATGAATTTTGCTAGAAAAATTGATCCACGATTGTACACGTGTTTTGGACTCTATACTCAAATACGACATTTTCATATATGCTTCTAACTATATATTCACATAGGACACTTTTCACATATGCTTGACTCTGTACTCACATACGGAGACTCGGAGAGTCAGTAGTATTATTATGTATTTAATGTATGCGTACAATATGATACTGGGAGCGCAACAATACCTGCTGATGAAATTTTAATTTCTGCACTTGTATCATGCCGTAATATAAGAAAAGATATATGTAGTGTTTTTTTCGGCTACTACTGTAACTTATTGCGACAGCTAAAAGTGTAGAAGAAAACGGAGTTCGACTCGAGGGTCCAAGCTACTAATCCGCTCAATCACATGCCTTATTATAAATAGGCTCCTAAAAGACACACTGGGCTAAATAACGACCTTGTGTGACTACCGTGACTGTGGTCTGTGAGTCGTGATTCGTGAATCAAAATAGTCTTCCGTATATAAAATAAACAAATAAAATATTCATAATTTCTGTCATAGCCGACTGATAAAACGGCTCTGAGAGATAAAAAGTGACTCTTGATTGCCCCGCCTGTCGGTCACTGTGGCATTTGTGATTTTCGGTCACAAGAGAGTATTTATGGACATCTTCTGATCAAAAGATAATGATTTTTTAGAAACACCATTTTCACAGTTGTAAATAATTTAATATAGCGAAAATGCCTGATGGTCTGTCCTCAACAACGCAGGCAACTGAGAAAAGGACCACTATGCCAAGTGAGCAAAACCTTGACGATGGCGATATCGCGTTTGCTACTCAGTCAAGCGATTCCGCTATCGACATGGATGAATGTGGGAAAAAGGACTTCCCTATTTGGTCCGGTGTGGATCTTGTCTCCATCGGCAGTGGCGTGACAGTCGACGCGTCAGTGAGATCGAGTTTACGTTATCGCGCTCGCAAACTCCGATCCCACACGGCATTACTAAAGCGTAAGATAGCTGCTGGATACCACCAAGCGTACTTGAAATGGTGTGTAGGGACAATACTCTTCATCACAATCTGTGTGGGCGCAATACATCTATATGAAACTTCCGATGTAAGTGACTTTTTTGGCTGGGTGGAGAAGGCACCCATATGGACGGTTACAGTTGTCTGTACGGTTATGTATTTCTTTGTGTCCCTCCCCATAGGCTGGGGCTATATCTGTATCAATATGCTGCAAGGTTACTTGTATGCCTGGTGGGGTTTGCCGCTGACGATGGTGTCCGCAATGATCGGTACGGTATCCGCTACGCTCACGTGTAAATACTTTCTGCACGACTACGTGCACTCCAAAGTAGAGGGCTATCCGACAATGTCCGCTCTTCTCCGAGTGGTAAATCGGCCTAATTCCCAGTCGCGTGTCATCATACTATCACGCCTATCACCTTTCCCTTATGGATTACAAAACGCGGTATTCTCTCTAAGTAATGTGGACATGATCACATATGCGTCGTATACACTGGTAGGGTGCATTCCGATGCAAGTGGTTAATACTTATATGGGAACCACGCTGCGAGACATCCGGGATGTACTGGCCCGCAGAGGTGAAGTGAGCGTTTTCACGTACGCAGTTTTCGCTGCACAGCTTGTTGTGGGCATACTTTTACTTGCCGGGGTGTTGTACGCCACCAAAGTCGAGTTCAACAAAATGGTAGAGAATAGCCCAGTCAATGATATTCAGGGTGCAAGCGACATCGAGAGTGGGTTGGACTCGAACTCTGATAGTGATGCGGAGTACATCCATGACGAGAGCATGGGTGGTGAAACAAACTGTACTTTCTCTAGGGTTGAAGGTATCGACGCGGACACTGTTGACGCTGCAGAAAATGAGGACGAACTGTCACTATATTCGCTGTGCAGTGATGACAACGTGTCTTTGATCTCGAGTAATGAGATGTATAGGTAAGGTGTTCGATACGACCCTGCTGAACTCTTGAGTGTGCAATAGAAATGTCCAAACTCAAGGCAAACCTCAGGTTCAGTATTATATATATATATATAATAATATATATATAGAAAAATGAAAAATAAAAATATGTTTGGTCTATGTAACTGTATAGATAGAGCAAAACAAATATTCTCCGTGATGAACAGACGATGCTTGGGACTGCAAGGAAGTACCTGTTTTTGTGTATATCCATATTTATCTGCAAACTATCATCGAATATAAAACACCAAGAAAAACAACCATCACACAAAAGCAAAACCCTGTATTTTGTACACCAAGCAATTCATGTAGTTGTATCTTCGATCGCTGAAGCGTGCTGAATAACATATCTCCGTCATATGATAACTGCAGTCCTGTGTTTTACTTAAGAAGCCGATTCAACGACCAGATCGCTCTCGAGACTGAAAGCACTGCTTTTCAGAGCTCAGCGTGGAATGCAGCCTGAGAAACGACCAGACGCTAATCAAGTATAGGTCGTTTCGGCTTAGTCGTCAATGTTTTAGCTTAAATTACTTTTACCACTTGATGGTCAGCCCTGAGGTCATCTTCTCGACAGCGTGGTACTCCGTGTGTAATGCTGCTTGCGCCTTCACAGAACCTGAACCATCCAGCCAATCACTGTGTAACGTCACGATGATGCATAGATTTAGTATTCATGTTACTGACAAAATTAGAATATGCAAAGCACGTCCCCGATACAGAGAACCTACGTATTTCTGCCGAATTACAAACACCTCCTAAAATCAAATATAGCCTGCGGGTTTGGTATTTTCAAACTATAAGCAAGCATCTGGAAGCAATACATCACATAGCAAGACGACCTCGGCAATCCTTGGGGGAGCTCACCTGTATAATAAATCGACATCAGGATCAACTAGTGCAGAGCTCTGTGTGGGTAAAGCTAGATAGTTGGCGCCAACTTTGCTGACAATATCTTTCTGCTTCGATTGGTTCGCATCCTTAATTTGCCCTCCGCCATTCACACAGCCTGCAGAATTGCAAAAAAATCATAGAAGAAAATATGAATATCGTATATATATCAATTTAATTCTCAAACACAGAGCTCTCACAATACTGCCACCTAATTTTGCAGACTTCTATGTACATCCGCGTCTAAATTTTGCCCAATGTTCATTTATGCAATATTAAATGTCCTTACAGATGTGGTCGCAGATACAAAAACCTATAAACAAAGCAACCGTACGACAATGTCAGGTGCTAATCGGATTTCCAAACTCAGAAGACAAAATAGACACACCTGATGGGCAGGCCATGACTTCGACATAATCGTACACTGATTTGCCTCGCTTCACCTTCTGTACAAGACTTTGTATATTGCGAAACCCATAGGCAAGGGCACCTTGCAAGACTGTCACCCCATCTTTTTGCACTAAACATTCCTGGCAGGTGGGAGAAAATAAAATGGAATAAATTAACTAGCTTATACACAATATCAGACGCTTTTACAGTAGTCGAGGATATATTATCCCCCGCAAAATACCTCGCACGTGACCATTGCTACATCAGAGTAGTACAAATACGTAGGCAGATCAGTCATATGGTAACCTAGTCATACTGGCTGCACTTATATCATCAATCACATCGCGCACCCAGATGATCACGGATAGTTAATATAGACATACCTGGAAATCTTTGTTCCTTACGGTTTTGTATTCTAACTCATCCAGCGTCAGACCAAATAATTCTTTCGCGGCGTATATTAACACATGCTCTGTATAACCACCAGACACGCTCCCCTGATGCCGAACCATTTCTTCCGAGTCTTCTGGGGCGAGAGCTTTCTCGCCCACAATATCGGTTCTGTGAGAAATATTACTCCATTCCCACGGTCCTGTCTTCGCTGCGTGTATTCTGAAACAAAGGAGTGGGCAGGTGAGACTTGTGATGTTTTATAGACATAGACCCCTAGTCAAACCACCGTATTAAAAAGCACATCATAAATCATGAAGGATCGCAAGAGTACGTTTGAACGACCACACGTGTGAAAGTGAAAGAAATTTAAAAGCTCAAACTTACAGTGAGTCGAAGGAATGGCTTTCTACCGGCGAGCTCACTTCAAATCCTCCGGTTTTCTCTGTAAATATAGAATCCAGCTCTCCAGTAGTTATAACGCAGTCCACATCCCGTGTGCTTAGCACGTCATTGTAAAAATCTTGCCTTGAGGCTTCCAACTTCTTATCGAAGCACGGCATAACAGCCACATGGTAGAAATGTGCAGCACTGATACAAAGGAAGCAAAGTACTCGATTAATCATCAACTCGACATGTGTATATAAACCACATTACACAAAGACAATTTGACTGTTACAAAGGAAGCAAAGTACTCGATTAATCATCAACTAGACATGTGGATGAGCGACATTACACAATGACAATTCGCAAACCCCAGTTTATCATTCAGCATGATAAAGCGAGGAACGAAAAATGCCACTTTATAAAAAAGAAGCTTGCAGTGTGTAGAGCCAGGTTCCACAAGTTAGGCGCTTACCTGACATCAATACTCTCCGCGAGATAGCCTTTCACAAGACTTCCCATGATCTGCTGTGGTGACTTTGTTGTGCTGATATAAGGTACAATAAAGTCACCATGTGTTTTCTCCGCGTAGCACACCCAACCGGGACAAGCCGAGGCCAACATAGGTAGTATCTCCGTTCCTTTTTTTTTAATCACGCCATCGGCTTTCTGAGACTGTAATAGCTGGAATATCACGCTACGAAATTAATATTTGATGTATTGTGTATCCATCACCGGCGGGATATGCACGCTTCCTCGGTGTTGTTGTTTAAACTAAAATAAATTTGACATTTAGATCAACGAGAGCGTACGCGGGTATGTAAGCGATAGGTGATGGTTTCAAGGGTGCACAATCTGTGATTCTTCTCAAAAGACACGACCACGATACACAACTTTGCTGAGTGAGAGCCACATGTATAGGAGATATCTAAGTTAGTAATCATACCAATACAACGTGTGCTCAAGTACCAATTCGAGTACGGATTCAGGCAAAATTTGCAAAGCAATATATAACAGTACAACATTTAACACAAGGGAAGAAAAATGTGGAAACACGCTCTTGCTGAAATTACGCTACTAGTTAGCATTGCATGCAGGATACGCTAGCATTGTACGACCTTGTTGTATATAATCCGTAAATGAAATGGAATGCACCATAAAGTATACAGCGCCCTTCTACTTGAGTATATATAACTTTCACCTAGAAAAAGTAATCGTAAACAACTTGAGAACTCAGACTTTTGTTCGGCATGTATAGTGATGTATCCCTATGAAAAACTATCATACATAAAAAGACAGGCGATCACGCTGTTTATATGTATAACCGCTTGTGTATAAGAGACATGTCGGATACAAGCACATCGACATGTGATGTGCCGTGGGTTCACTCAGTATAAAGCCGAAACCCCAATTATGCCAAGCACTGAGAAGCAACTAGCTAGATCCTTCCGTATAAAAATGTAGACTTGTTTGTTGGGAATATACCGACATCACGCAAACATACATAATACAATTGTAGCTACAAGATACACGTCAAATATCATAGTCCAAAGACAGCAGATGCGAGCTCGAACACGAGGCGTTTCACGCAGGTAGAAACAAGTGTAAAACTATCGTACGACACATGGCATATCCACGGTATGAGATGTTATATCTAAGACTCTTCTACACTTTAGCTATTCGTTAAAACACTTCTGCGGCTGTTTGCAGTCTAGTCCGAGACAGCATAGACACGAGGCTTACCTGATATCGCCTTACAAACTCCCGCTGTGCTTCCATCAACGAGAAGTTCCGTGCTAAACTCACATCGAATATGAAGTGCACCCCCATGCTCCTAAGGAAGAAACACACTCGTCTTGCCACCTCATCCATACTCATATTGTATTTGACTGAGAGTGACGCAATACTTTGGGGAGCGATAGAAACAACAACAATTTTCCTCACTGCGTCTTCATCAACTATGCGTTTTCCTTCAATGCTGCCGCTACCGCTTCCCATTGCGTCATTCTCCATTTCATCGGCCATCTCGGTATCCAACTGCTTATATACTGGTTCGCCAATTGAGATTTTGAAGTTCGCATCTAATACTCTATACAATTCTTCCTGACTCTGTGCAGAGATGAGTATGCTCTCGGCTGTGGTTATGCACCCACTGCACGCTAAACAGTCATCTAATGTAATTTTGGCCTTTGGTAATTTCTTAGCCGTTCCATCTTGCGATACTTCAAAGTAGCCCCCGTCATCGTCTAGTTTGATCGCCTTGCTTTCTTTGGGTTTTTTCTTCTCGATGGCCACCGGCTTAACGCATTCTTGTGAGGGTGCTATAAAATCGTCGAGATCTGTAAGTTTCAGACCGCCTGAGAAATGCGACATTTTTATTTAGTTGTGGAAATGCAATCGCTATGCCCAAAACACACAAAACAGTCGTAGTTGTAAGTATACGTATACGAGGTTGCCTTGATCCTTATATTTATATTTTATATATATATATATATATATATATGTGTGTGTGTGTTCACAATGACAGACATGCACGTTTATAATAATGACTACGGCTTTTACTATAATTTTCCAATCATTTTAATTTCTATTGGATGGCCTTGACAAAATTCGGGATTGATTCGCTCAACAGCCACTCCGCTTGTGAGTCTGTCAGCCTGGTCCCTGGGGCCTAGGCCCCTGGGCCTGGGGCGTCAGTGGGGCCTACATACTAGCCACTGAGTAGTCAGCACTGAGTACTCAGTAAATAGTGAGTACTGAGCGTCTGCGCTGTGGGCCAGCGAGCGGCCAACCAGCTGCAGCGCATCGATGCCTGATGTGTGAGACATATAAAAGAATGTGTTCATACACTGTATCCTTTACTTATTAAGTACGGATAGAATAGTACATGGTCCCTTGGATTGTTTCCTGCATAAAAATACTACATTGATTTTCTGTTTAGATTGTCCTTCTCACATACAGGTGTCACATGTACCTCCAGACCCAGATCGCACCAAAACGATGGATTGATCTTGTAGCCAGAATGAGGTATGTACAACAATATTATGTGCAACACAAGTATGTACAACAATAGCATGCTCTCAAAAGTACTTACCATACGCCTGCGTGCCATTTGTCAAGAATGTTTGAGCTGTACGTAGGATGTACAGGGATAAGTAGATGTTCCTGCATCATCGACAGGAGTAACGGGAACCACGGTGCCCATACGTTTAAGGCGACATGGTGGGTTCATCCATGCGCTGCATTACTCCAATCAAATTTAACCTCCATCCCTCCTCCTCCCCCTCGTCTTCCCTTTCCCTCCCTCTATATAT